AATCGGTGATTAAGATCATGTTAGGTTCATATTATTAAAATCGCATATGATCCGTTAACGTGATTTTAATAGTAAACTTTATTTTCGTTTTCTCTGGCATTTCTTTTTAAAAATCTGAAAATAATTTTGTAAAATTAGACTTATTGACTTTTCATCTAATTATATCAAAAACAAAAATGCAATCTCAATTTTCTATATGATTTACCATGTGACTCGATTTTAATAGTAATAAACATATTTTCTCTTTAGCATAGAAAATTAAAATAAAATAATAGCTTCTTCCTTCAAGCAAAAGAAGAAGGGGGGGTTTTTTTTCTTTTTTTTTTTCTTTATAATAACGATATAATATTCCGTATGCATAATTTTATTGGATAAATTTTTTCTATGTCGATCAACTACGAAAACACGATCGTATTTCTTTTGGGATCGATCCCTTAGTGTTTCACTAAAAACGGTAAATGTCACAATTGGCTGATAAAAATCTATTGAAGACCTATTATTCACACATTAGCGTTTTCTTTTATTTGATACCTAAGGATTTTATTTTTTTTGGATATATTATAAAAATATCCTTTCCATTACGATTAATTTAAAATACTAAATACCTATGTATATATTTTCTAAATTTTTAATTGTAACATCATAATTTTTGTATAATTGGGAAAAAAAAAATTCCCCCATTTTAATTACGATTATAATGTGTTCAAAAAAAATATCCCATTCTATTCAAAAAAAAAACTATTCAAGAAATCAGAAATGTAATTCATCTATAGGGCTATGTGTCTTTTCAATTATTGGTTCTAAGTCTACGATTTGTTTCACCTTATAGCATTTGATTGATGACACCAACTAATTTCCCAACGCGCTCTTTACCCACTCAACCTTCAAGAATATCAGTATCATCTATTGAGACAAGAAGGATGGATTAATGATAAATTGTAAAAAAGAACAATATCTTGCAAATGAACACAAATTTGTTGATGTTAATTCTACGCGATATAAGTTCCGGGCAAAAAATATGGCGGTTATATTTTTAACGGTATGTATAAACTTAAGTTTCATATTTTTTTTTATTTAAAAGTCCGAAACATACTAATACCTCCTTCTGAATCATTGCTTTAATCCGTTTTGGCATCCTATTGATGCACATAAGTAACACACCATCATAGAGGTGTGTATTACGAGTTATTTTTCTTGTAAGAACAGAAACGTAAACGAGGTTCGCGAGCTCATCACGTACGGTACGCTCACTGACCTTGAGTTCGTGATCCTTCCTACTTTGCTTTAATTTTACCAGCCGTAGTGAAATGGTTGTTCTGCAAAATTTTCAATTGACGGGTTTCCTCGGTCGGTCAGATAAGTGTTCTATAGAAATATTGTCAATTTTTTACGCAGAATACTGCCATATCGCTCACATGAACGTAAAGGAATTCCTAATTTTTGGGAAATTTCCTTCGCGTTACAGACGTTTTGCTGCGTAAGTGACTTAACGGAGTTTTCAAGAGAAGATGGCATCGTCTCGCGGATAAAATTAAAAAAAAGAAATAACAAATAATAATTTTACAACTTACCTTTTAAATTAGCATTCCATTACCCGATTTGACTGTAATATAAAATATGTATGTGGATTCTATACCCAATGAACTCTTCAATTTATATTTATTAAAAATGTTAAATAAAGGAGAATTGAGGTGTCTATAATTTCAAATGAAGTTCGTTAGTGCCATCATTAAATAAATCAATGTGCCTTAGATTTTGATTTTAATTTAATTCTTTTATTTCATTTGGTCACTGACCTTGAGCATGCAATGTCAACATTATGAAGTGTATTTTTCTTAAATCTTGTGTTTTGCACACTTATGAATAGTTCCTGTCATTTTTGAATACCTTTTGGAATTCGACCTTGTTGTTTTCGAACGACTGCCTTGTGGCTGAAACTTTGATAACCATTTATTTTTTTTATCCATTTTACGGCTTATTATATAATATATATGATCCATCAAAGATGAAAAAAGAAAAATATTAAAATATGATTTCATTTAGATTTTATGTTATTTTGTATCAAAGAGCATAAATTGTATAAAACGACGGCTGAAATTTATCACCTTGTTAAATGTTCCCATTTTAGTTTTAGGGTGAAAATAGAATTTTTTAAAAAGTACTACAATAAGGATATTGCAGATCTTTGAATCTATAATCCAACTTTAAATAAAATAAAAAATAAAAAAAGACAATCTTTGTCACAAATGAAATTTATTTGTGTGTTCCTATTATTTCGAGTGTAACAATAAGAACATAGGGATCATATTAGTAATATATTTACTTAACTGGCACCAAGATTGCCGATCTTTGAAATTCTTATAATGGACTTTTTTTTCGAACGAAAATAAAAAAATGAACCCGATATAAATAAGATTTTATTATATATCATAAGGGATGTTCTGATCTTACTTCTATAATTTTTGTATTTAACGTTATTTACTAGAAAAAAGCAAAATTGTAAATGATATTATATATATAGTATGTATATAACGTATATAAACGTATATAAACTTAAATAAAAGCTTTATTATTAAGTAATCCTTATTGCATAATCAGGGAATCAATCAATCTTATACAATATAATTAATAAAATTACATTTTTTTTTTCATATTTTATCGAATAACTTAATTGCACATTTGGGAAGATAAACTATTAAATTCATAAGTCCTACGTAGTCCAACGTCCAACAAATAGAAATTTTTTTTCTTTTTTTTTTTTTTTTTTTATAAAAAAAAAATAAAATAATATAAAATAAATAAATAAAAAAAAAGTCATAATAATTAGAATTAAACATCTTTCTTTAAAAAAAAATTAGGAATAAAGAATTCTAACTCTATTAACGTCTCTATTAAGAATTATTGTTCATCTAAAATAAAAGGACAGACGGCCTGCCTATCTATTGAAGAAAAGAAGATCCAGTAAAAAAACCAGCTGGACTTAAAATGGAGGAAGCTGTTTCAGAGTTTTCACTAAAGTTTGCGCCGTTGTAGAAATCCCTTTGTGTAGGATCTTCGGTATCCTGGTGATAAATTCTTGCAATGTGGTCAAGAGTCATAGAATTATTGATGTGAACTCGCGAGATGTATTTTTGATTAATCTCGTTTGCTCCATCCGCCAAACTTGTAAATTGGTCCTTTTGAGTATCTGATAAATGGTTGCTCCAAATTTCATCGACGGCTAAGTTTATAAGATACCGTTTATTGTTTATTACAACATTTGTTGTTTCGGATTCTACATTACGTCTTAACAATATCTTTCCTGTTATCCTTTTGACGTTTTTTCCACGCCTTGATTTAGCGGCGACTAGAAGTTTATTATTATTATCAGGAAGTTGGCAGACGATACTAATATCTACGTGACCAAGAAATTCTTTTAACTTTTCTATAACGAGCGGATTGGAACTCATATTAAATGAAAATTTCAATCCCTCAAGAACTGAATTATTGATAGATACTGTATATACTTGGATTAATTTTCCTCCGAGAAAATTAATTTCTGTTTCAGAGGAACCTTTTTTATTTTGTAAAAAAAAAAAAAAAGATAAGCAGGTGATAGTAATTTTTTTTTTAGGTAATTATAATTTGATTTAGACAAAGAACTATTTTATATTATTTACAAACAGAGTCCTAAAATGTTTCAACGCGTTTGATACTGTCATATTTTTCATGTGATTATTCTTATTCGATATTTTGTCATTATAAAACCTTTAGGTAGTTTTTTACGCCAAGGCAAATAAATGATTCTTTCACGTGAAGTTTTTTTTGTCAACTATTTTGCATTGAACAAAAAAAAAAAAAAAATTTCACATATATATATTTTAAAAAAAATGATTTTGTAACGCGTGTTATTTCAACAATTACCACTTCAAATTAAAGAGAGAGTGAATACCTTTTATCTTTAGGGATAAGGAATATCAGTTGAGAGTAGGTAAAAAAAAGAAAAAAAATCATTATTGCGGTTCTTTTTTTTTTGTTTACTGTTTACTGAACACATATTATATTCAAAGCAATAACAAATAAGCAAGTCATTGTTACTTTTTTTTTTTCACATATACATTTCGTTTTATTTATATCATGAGTTTGATGATAAGGTACGTTTACATAAATGGAATAGTTAAACCACGAACTTTGGGGAATTTTTTTCACTTTATAAATTATATTATATTCAATTTAATTGATATATTGATTATAAACACACGAAAAAAAAAACGGGATTTTTTTGAATTTAATTTTTTTGTAACAAATACTGTTCAGAATTGGATTCCCTTATATTGTTCATAATTAACAAAAGTAGCTAATGGAATCACGTGATCTGGCTATTTTGCGCCTGATTTGGGTTAATATATATGTACGAATATGTTTACCTACATATTGCGTAAAATATAAACTATTTGCACAAAAAGATGAATTGTTTGAGTAAAATATTTTTTTAAATACAAAATATAAGTGATGCGAAGGTCACAGATTAGCTTGCTCTTCCAGCAAAAATATTCTAGACGAAACCATCTGAATGATTTTTCCGGGGCTTTTATTATTATTAAAGAAGAAAATAACATACTTTTCTTCTATCAGCTGTTTCATCATATACGGGACAGCACTTATTTGTTCTTGACGCGAAATTTCGGTAAAGATGTCGCTGTGTTACGATCAATGTCTGAATTGCCAAGATTTCGCGGTAGCGTTGTCCAGTATATTTTTGAGATTTGCTGTAAAGCGGTATTTATTTTCGACTTGACGCGAAAACTTGATAAACTCGACATAGATCTCGTTGCTTACCGATTAGTATTTCATATGAGGTTTATCAAGTTTTCGCGTCGGTAATTTTTTTTTGAAAATTGGTTTTACCAAATGAATGATGATCGGCAATATAACTTTAATCTTGTTCTAAATTTCTGATTAGAACTTTAGGAATAATTAATTATATTTATGAAAATTATCCTAAATCATGATATCATGTATACTTATGTATACACGAAATTTGTGTAAAATGGAATTTAAGGATATAATGAGGTATATTATAGTTTACTTGTCAAACATGGTAATTTTAGTATGGCGTTAACTACATATTTATTAATTTTTTGTAATCACATTCTCGGAGACACAACATCACATAATAAATTTAACCCCCTGAATTTTAGAGAAAAGATGTGCATTTTATGGGGGAATAATTTTTGAAAGCTAAACAGGTCATAATGATAGACAGGTAATAACCATTTGCAGATTAGTAATAAAAAAAAATTTTTATTTTTTCCTTTTTTTTTTTTTTTTTGCCAAAAATTACCAAAATAATATATCAATATGGGTTGTTTTTGTGTCACTGAAAAAATGCGTGTCACAATAAGCGTGAGCTTTTTTTTTTATAAATTTGAGGTTATCCAATCAGATGTCTGATTCAGAGCTCGTGCTTCTTTACTCTGAAAGTAACTTGATTTATTATTTTTTTTTTTTAACAGAAATTTTCAAATTAATCTTGAATAGTTAATATAAAGTCAATGTTGATTTTTTTTAAAAATAATTGGTGGCAAAAGGTGCTATTAGAAAAAATCCACCTTAAT